GATGTAGGCCTCTGAGGGGAGATTTTTAGGAAAGATGATGGGCCCTTAGAAAAACAGATATGAGGTATGATAGTTTGAAATAGTTCGTATGGGTGTGGTGTCCACTTTTAGTCTCCTCTCCTTTGATGAGTCAATTTTTCCTAGTTGGTGAAACTCCCAGGAAGGAGATTTATGACAACTGAGTTCCTTGTGGAGAATCTGTCTTTAGGCAGATAAGGAGAGTTCAGAGAAAGCCTCTCCTTGAATTTCCTGTTTTTCAAGTGTTCAAAATAATCAATATGCCAGAGCTGCATTTGTGGGAGTAGCATGTTCTGCTACCCTCCAATCTCATACTGCCAACCTGCCTCCTCCAGCTCCAGAGCAATGGGCCTGAGACAGAAAGTGACTGTCTGTGGGTGACACTGCTTCCTTTCTTCACAGCAGTAGGGATCAGAACCAGGCCTTCTCAGAACTGCAGGGTGGGTTTGAGCTGAATATGGTGAACCTGGTGAGTTTCCCACATGACGGGTATCATTCTGAGGCTCATATGCATCAGTGAATGAATGCCCATCCCAACCCTATGAGATCGATCCAGTTATATCTTATTTTACAGACAAGAAGGCAGAGTTACGGAGTTAGGTAATTTGCCATAGTCCCACAGTGTAACTCCAAACCTTGTGCTTTGAATCACTGCTTTCAATAATGTCTGACAGGCGGCAGTTATCAAACATCTTGACCATATGCCTGAGACCCAAGAACTGTCTAGCTGCAAATGGAGCCACAACTGCTTACTGAGCATTCCCCAGGGGCAGGCCCGGGCCCAGATGTGCTGTGGGGGGTGTGTGAGAGGTGCAGGATGCAGTCCCTGGGAGCTGACGACCAGTAGGGGGATGAGACAAATTCATCCAGAGTTAAATGTTAGTTAAGCACAATGTGAAAATGTTGCACATAAGAGATGAATTATTGTTAAATGCTGCAATCAAGAGCTGAAGAGGTCATTTGTTTATTCAAATCACACCGCCAAAGTGCTGATTTGGTGCCAGGCCCTTTCAGGTACCAGGAATGGAGAGGAGAATTCGATGCTGACCCTGCCCAGACCCTCAGATCGTCACAAGGCAATGTAGCCACAGGTGGAGACAGAAGCAGAGCACTAAGAGGCCCCCAGAGGCATGGTAAAGAGGGACTGACCAAGTCTTGAAGAGGAGGAGGGTCTGGGAAGGGTCTGTAGAAGCTCAGAAGGTGGGGCAAGGGCCATGCGAATGGGGAAAGTGAGGAGGAATGACTCTCCCTAGAGCCACAAATAGTACCACCTTACTTTTGGCCAATATGTTAGTTTCCAAAACACTTTAGCACTCCTCTTGAACATCACCTACCCAGGGTGGAAAGGAGAGCAGGCATTATGGAAAGGGAGCTTTGGAATGGCAAGTGCCATGCCTGGGCTTACACGATACGGCCTGGCCTGAGGCCTGGTCTTCTGTCTCTCTCACCAGTGTTCTTTCCACTTGATGGTTTTCAAAGCTATGTCCCTCCATCGCACCACAGCTGGAGACTGACTGTAAAGACATTATTTTTTTTATATTTGCATGAGTCCCCATATCCTCATTCTGGTCCTGCTAGAAAGTGGTGGCTGTGACGCCCCAACAGTGCTTAGTGGGTAGGCAGCTAATTCTAAACAAGACTGTGTGGGGCACAGCTTGTTTGTTATTTTGTTTTTTTTCTTTCTTGCACTGTTCTTCAACTTTTTTTCTAACAGCTTCATTCAACCTGGGTTCCTGGCACTGCACTATATAGTCCTCAAAAGTCTTACTCCAAGAAATATTCTGTACATTAATGACTATTATCATTATTGTTAATTACCACATATTGATCATTTACCATAGGCCAGGCATTGTGCTAAGAACTTGGGTGGATTTGTCTCTTCAGTCCTCACAATGAGATAGGTGCTAGTATCCCCATTTTTATAGATGAGGGAAACTGAGGCAGAAACATGTCACTTACCTGAGGTTACACAGCTGTGAAGTAACAAGAGTCAGGATTCAAATCCAGGTCTGTCTGTCTCCCTCTGTTGTCTGCATTGCATGTTATTTTGCTTTGGTTGCTTTGGTTGCTCTGTTGCCATTGGCAATAAAACCTTTTGGAGCCAATAGTTTTTGAGGGGAGTCTTCAACCTTTCCCAGGCTTGGTGTGTCTCTAACACCTAATGGCTAAGAGCCCTGTCAGATGTAGGTATTTGTTAAAAACACAAGTGAATCACCTCAGTTCCACAGATGTATAATGGACACCTATTGTGTGACCAGCCCCATGAGAGGTGTTCCATGAAAATCAAAGAAAATGAGACCTGCTCGCTGCCCTTAAGACAAAATTATCACATGCACAAATAGAGGATTAGATATAATCAAGTGGAAAGCTGTGGGGTGCTCATGTTAAGCATCATGGGAGCTGGGAAAAAGGGGAGAACCTTATGGCTGCAGTGGGCTGAGAAGGCTTCCACTTCAGGGCCCTAGAAATACAATGGAAAGTGTGAGAATGTGTGTCTGTGGAAGGCAGGGAGCAGCTGCCACCTCACTTGTCCCTTTTCACACCCAAGGTGGCAGGGAGAGCTGTCTGGAAGGAGGAAGTGAGAGGGTGTTGATTCTGGGGGGCCCTTGTCCAGCAATGCCAAGGGCAGCCAGCACAAAACTGCCCTTTCATGGAACCACTCAAAGAGTCCCCTGTGTGTGTGTGGGTGGGGGGACCTTGGCTGCTCAAGCTGGGAGAAGCCAAGGGAGAGGGCGTGAGGTGCTAGAGGGGCATGTGCCTGCAGACTGCTGTACACTGGCAAAACTAGGAAATCAGCCAAGGACTAGGGGAGGAGACAAACATTTGTTCCTACTCCCTTTTTTTATTCACAATTATCATCCTTTTCGGCGAGAGAGGAAAAGGAGGCTCAAAGAAAATACTTTCTTAAGTTCACATAGCTCAAAGCAGAGCAGGATGTGAATCTAGGGAGGTCTCCCTTACCGCTGCTTCTACCCCCTCTTTCTCTTTGGACTTCTCTCTTCCTCACCTAGGAATCCT